AGAGATGTTCGACATCATCAGGAACAGTGAGAGCTCGATGAAAAGAAGACACATCGACGTCGTACGGATCGAGAGGGTTCGTTTCTTCAGAAAATTGCTTTTCACACCCTTCGCGGGCCGGATATGTGACAAGACAATCGTAATCCGCTGCGCAGGTGGTCGTGGCGAGCGACTCCGCGCTCTATAGACGAGTTGGCCGTTTGAAATTGAGTATTTGTGGAACGGAAAATTTGATATCGCATATCAAGGAATCTTGTCTCCGCTTGAATTTATATGGGTCTCACTGCTACAGTTGATGAACTGATGCGCATTAAACGTCCACCGCGCATCGCTCACGACGCGTCGCGCGCGACGTCGCGAAAGATCACGATTGTCTTGTCCCACTCCCTTGCGAACCAGGGTCACGTATTGCCTACCGACAGCAGACACCACCCTATCCAACTGGGAAAATATGTCAAATTTTTGACTATGGTCCCAGACCACCATGTTTGCGCTAGAGATGGGCATGCCCCTTGAATGGGAGTTTAGAGGAAACATCCACTGAAATGGAAGATGTTACAGATTGGTCAGAACCGTGTCCAGCTGGTCATGCGCTGTGATGAGGAGGGAAAGTGTAGAAAATGGATCGCATGTCAGAAGAGGAAGAGACGAGATTCAGCCGAATTTACTACAGATATCAAAGTAAGTTTCGTTCCCGTTCTCTTTGGCCTGTACTGCCGGTCATAGTCCGGGAGACCTTTTGCTTGATCCCTATGCAAGAAATGTCATGGTAATGAACGATCTTCTCTAAAACACGACCCTCCAAGCAACGACTCATGCCCTCCCTTTCCTAGGTAACTGGAAAAACTTGATTACAAGAATGCTGAATTATAGGCGAAGTAGTAGACTAGTTGGGCGCTGTCTGGCGACGGGGGAGGTGAGTGGGGGGGGGGGCATTTTGCACTTGAACGACTTCTCATCGACGTGTCGCCCATCCCAAACAGTCTCTCTTCTCGAGTTGACAGGTTTTACCATGATAGCTTGACGAACTTGCTCCAGCTTCACAAGAGTTCACAGGTTTCACCCAAGTGAGACTTGTAAACCAGAACTAGGTGCGAATGAAAAAACGTGGCAAAATTACCCCTCCCCCCCTCCGCCTCGTCAGAGCAACGCGCCAACTTGTCTGGACCCAGGCGTGACGTCGAACCCAACCTTCAAGCTTTCCGAAAGGACGAATGCGCTTACTATTACCCACCAATCCTCCTCTTACCTCCTCTCAATACCCACTGGGAGAACTTTTCCCTTTCCCTAGAACAGCCAACTTCCCAAACTTCTAAACGGGCAATGAGGGATGAGGCCTGATCGGAAGTTGTACCTTGCACATCAGACTGCCCCTCCATTTGACCTTGATTAATTTGCCGACAGTTCAAAGACTGTTTAATCCTTTTACGGCAGAAGGCACGTTAGAAAAACCTGAAAATTGGCCCTCCATTGACGCCTGGGAACAACTCAAAAAATGTGGATGTTTCTGAAAAGCAATTATTCATAGCCGTACAAACTTTCGACTGGAACTACTTCCATTAAGCCTTTCTGTCCTCTCCCCCCCTCACTACAGCCCGATAAAAAATCGATTAAGTAACGAATCTACAGCTGGCCATTCTACTATATATTAACGTCCCTTTACTTCAGCCGTAGAACCGTTCAAATTGATAAGTGATAAGGATGATACAAACAGAACATGTACTATAGGTGGCAGGAATTGACAATAACAATAATAACCGTTGATAAGAGCTGACAGGGATGATAGAAGGGTGGGTCACCAAGTTCATAGTGTCGCAATAAAAGAGGGCACAGGTTCCAAGAAGTAATAGGGGTGGGGTCAGGAAGAGAACATTATTGGAGAGTGGCAGGAAGTGATAAGTGTGATAACTTCGTTTTGCAGAAAGCATTCGTGGATCTGTTCCCGGCCATAGCAGCGGCTCCAATTGAAGTCCATCCCTTCTCCTTATGACCGATCAACACATGAATTCCGAGTCACTTTCCTCCTCCACTGAAATCCCTTCAGCGATTTTCGATCGGCTTGCAGACGTCACCAAAAACAGCGAAATCGATCGGTTGCGAATCAATGAGGTTTGTCAGGCATTTCCGATGTGATAATGATCTTTTACGACGATCGCATGGGCGGAGTCGGACCTATCATCATGCCTTTTCATTGGTTCCTTTTT